AGGCGAAGTTCAACCTGGACAGGTCGCCAGTCCATTGCAGGAAGTGCAGCATAATTTAGGAAATGTTTAGCTTTGCCAATACTTCTGGATATTTTAGTTTAAATGTTTATTATGAGTTCTCCTGCAAATCTTGTCAATCATGACTCCGAAGAACTTAGTTTCCTTAACTCTCTCTACTGTCACATTACCTATAAGGATATTTAAATCTATTTCGCTTTTGCAGTTTACAAACAACATCAACTTGGTTATATCCAAGTTTGTTATTATCAAACCATATCTTAAGTCGACAACTCAAAGGTAATATCAGCCATTTGCTGATCCAAATTATCACCTGTACAAAAGATGTTAGAATCATCTGCAAACAAAACAAATTTAAGTATTTTAGAAACTTTGCAGTTGTCATCAATATAAAGGATAAATAATTTTGGTCCCAAACTGACCCCTGGGGGACACCACAAACAATGTCCAAGCACAATGACTGGCAGTCACCCATTTGCACAAATTGTTGCCTGTTGCCAAGATAACTTTTCCTCCAGAGTAGTGCTACTCCCCAGATGCCATAGCGCTCAAACTTCTTAATTATTATTTTGTGATTTATTGTGTCAAAATCTTTTTTGAGATCAATAAATAAACCAACTGCAGAGTTCTGATTATCTAAGACGTTGTTGACTTCTTCTATCAATTCAATGTCAGCCATTGCAGTAAATCTTTGTGATCTAAATCTATACTGACTGTGATGGCCACATGTGCAACCACACAACAAATGGTCTGGTAATTTTTTCATTAAATCTTATTTATTTACTGTACTTTATTTCATTTTTTTTTTTTTACTTTGATTTGGCATTGGGCAACTATTTGGGTGGACACATTTAGTTGACTCATTTTCTCATTTTCTGTACATGAATATATTTTTCATTTGAGTTGCCAGTTCCTGGGAGGCTGTCACGAGTGAAGCAGGGTAAAGGAAAGGTGGTCCAAGCTGCAAAGGATCTCCTCATTGACATGGAGGCCTAGTTGGACTCTTCCACTTACTTTTACAAGGGGTGTAGGAAGGGTTTAGGTTTCTGTGTTTGGTTTTCTTTTCTATAATAACATTTGGAAAGTTTAGTATTTAAGCCCTCTTCCTCATAGGTTGCTGATTGAGTATGGTGCTGATTAGTTTGGTCTTTTGTTGTAGTTTTGTTTAGGATATAAAATATATTGTTTCCCTTGTGTGTCAGTTAGGTAGGTCTTTTCCTGTGTCAGGTTTGGATTATGCTGATTTTTGTCATTTATTTTCCTTGATGGGCCCAGTCTTGTTTGAAGTTTGAACTTTATTTTTGCTAAATACATTTTTTTCATCAATGACATCCCTGTGCTTATCTGACTGTCGGTAACAATTTATGTTTATTAATGATTGTATCTAATCTATCTACAAGTAATTTATCCAATGTTTTGGATAAATTACTGAGTTGGAAACGTACTGTTTCTCTGTCAAAATAGAGAAACAGTTCTATAATTTGTGGAAACTTGCCTGTCTCAAGATTTATACAGCGGAATAACTTTGGTAATTTCATCTTTTCTGGAAATTTAGAGAAGAAACGGAAATTTAGAAATTTTTCAGAGGCTGAAGAGTTTCATCAATTGCTGTCATATCAATGCCATCACAGTCAGTTAACGTCTTTTTATTAGATTTGTTGACTATATCTATAATTTCCCTTTCTCTCACAGCAGTGATAAACATTGAACAAGGATTCCTGCTGATTAATGGTTCATTCAGAGCGCCAGTTGTAGGATGTGGGATTTTTTCTGCCAGTTTGGGTCCCACACCCACAAAATATTATTGAAATTATGAACAATGTCATTATTGTCCTCAAAATTGTTATCATTATTTACAAAACACTACAGAAATTTAATTTTTCCTGAATTTTTCTTGACAAAATTCTTCAATACATTCCAAATCCCTTTGATACTTTTCTTATTTCTATCTAATAATTTACTGTAATAATCCCATTTAGCTATTCCTAGAATAGT